AGTCAAAACAATTAATATTTATGGATCTCGGAGGATGATTTGAGGAATTGCAACTACAGTATTTATTTCCTCTTCTAGACCCTAATTCTGATTACATTCAGACAATTGTCAAAAATTTTTAAACAACAAATTTTTAATGATAATAATGATAATAATAAACTCTATTTGTGTAGCACCTTTCATACAAGAAATGTAGCACGAACTGCTTTACAGGAAAGAAATGACCTGCACCAAGTTCTTCACATGAACAGAGGAAGTTAGCAATGTAGCTTGGTCCTTGCCCATTAAGGCCTTTGTATATAAGGAGGAGGAGCTTGAAATCAATTCTAAATGTAACAAGAAGCCAGTGCAGAGCAGCTAAAACTAATGTGCTCTCTCCTCTTGGTTCTGGTTCACAGCTGAGCTGCAGCGTTTTGAATGAGCCTTCAGTCTCTCAGTGTTTTTTTTTCTGGAGCCTGGTAAAAAAGTGCGTTGCAGTAATCAAGGTCGCTTGAAATGAAGGCACGAATCAATCTCCCAGCATCTTTTTGGTTTATAAATGGCCGTACTTTAGCTGTTTCTACGGTGGAAAAAGGATGTTTTTTTCACCTTGTTGATGCTGGACTTGAAGCTTAGATCTGAATCCAAGATACCGCCAAGAATTGAAACCTCAGGTTTAATCCAGGGAGTCAGTTTCCCCATGTTATTGAACAGCATTTCTCTTTAAGAGAAATCCATTTATTTATTGCTAGAGGACAGGTAGTAATGGAATTTATAGCTGCAGCATCATTTGGTTCAGCAGAGATGTACAATAGTGGCTCTGTCCAAAGGTAACACAGTCAGCCCACCATCACCTCTAAAGCTCACAAATTAACATCGCATTTACTTAATTCGTAGAAAAGCCAAAGTATAAAATCAACAATTTGCCCTGTTTCATAGACACACCAGACTATTTCTTGGCAGGGACCAGTAACTTCCTGGAGTCTCAGCTGGCTTCCTGGCAGCTGCTCCAAGCCAAGAAACACATAATCCCATGTAAAACTGCTAACTGTTGCATTTACACTATTTGGTTTTGTAGAAATCAAACAAATGAGATGCAATGTGTTGATTAGTGGGCTTCAGATGTGCTGGTAGGTGGATTTTATGACTTAAGCTAAGCTTGGTGAACAGAGTAACTGCTAGAATTGATCAGTGCAGTGATCGTGATAATCAAGCCATTATCATTGAACAGTACATATTTGAATACTAGAAGATTCTGCGTGTGATGTTCTGTTGGTGAGCAGATTCACAGAAGTAATCTGTTAAAACACAAGGTACACAGTTTGTAATCCAATGATCATGTTTGGTTAAAAAGAAAGAGAAGGATGTTGAGACTGTGCAAAGCTCTTCCTGGAGAGAGAAAATACAGTATGAGGAATCATTTTCTCCTGTAGATTACTGTGCACCTCTCACTGGTGTGCCTTATCCTCCGGGTCATGATGCTATATACAGTGACACTCAAAAAAAACTAAATAAAACTGACTCTATTCACAGCAGAATCCCCAACATGGTGTTGAAACATGATTTTCTTTTCATGTCCTCGTTGCCACAGTGACCAACATTCAGATTCAGATTTGAGGATGAGTGTTGATTGATTTTACTTTGTAGAAAACACATTGTCCGTCTGGTGAAAAACCCGAATGGCTGCAGTTTAGTGGATGTTATTTTCAATATGTCACTTGACGTGACCTTTAGAAATACTGTGAGATGTGTCAGTGGGAGAAAAGGCAGAGGGAGGAAAAGGCAGGGTGTAATGGGATGTATGACTGTGTTGTACTGCATGTAGCAGAGGAAAGAAAGGCAGGAGCTGGGCAGAGTGAAAGAGCACAGCGATAAGACAGACAGCTCAGAGATGGAGATTATGTTGTGGTGAACTTTAGTGTCTTCAGTCCTGATGAATGCCTCTGTAACGAACGTCTGAGAGTGTTGGTGTCAACCTTTAGCCAAGACCTTTACATCAGCTACGGCCTGAAGGAAGAGCCAGGAGGGGAGGAGAGAGAGAGAAAACACACCTGGTGTTTAGTGTCATTGACAAGGTCGCAGTTCTTCAATTGCACAGTGACACACACCTGAGGACTGTAAAAGACTTTATCTACTGTGTTTCAGAGAGCATCATACACACATTATACACACCTTTTCACATCTACAAATATCATTAATAACCAGTGTTAGGGAGTAGTGAATTACAAGTAATTAAAGTAGCAGTTTAACTACATTTCGCAGTGGCTCATATGTGCATTGTGATTCAAGTAGTTAAATCACTTTTTTGCTTTTTTGTGTGTAGTTAACTACTGCAACTACAAACAGCTTTGGGTCATTGTTACCGTATATATTTATATATATGTCTATGTATATGTATATAGCTTGAACTTTAACTTAAGTCTTAACCCTCAAACAGCCATTTGAAGAAATGAGGACATAATAAATGTCCTCTCTGCCAAGGTGTAAACCTCAAAGGGATACAGGACACACACAGTACAGCACCCCGGCCTGATGTAGAAGCCAATTTGGCACACACACAGTGATTCAAGGTTAAGGAGCAGCCTACTAATGATAAGGACAAGGAAACATCCCCTCTCTGATTTGTTTGTGTGCATGTGTGCGTGTGTGTGCGTGTGTGTGCGTGTGTGTGCGTGTGTGTGCGTGTGTGTGCGTGTGTGTGTGCGTGTGTGCGCGTGTGTGCGTGTGTGTGTGCGTGTGTGCGTGTGTGTGTGTGTGTGTATGTGTGTGTGTGTGTGGAGGAGGGGCTTTATTTCAGCAGATAAAGCTGTGTTGATCAATACATGGTGATGTTACAATTTAAAATGAAGCGTTGCAGTTCATTCATTTGATCTTCCCACTTTCTCTCAGCTCAGGCTGCTTCCTCTGCTCCTGTTAAACCATCTTTTGGAAGCATCATAGTTGAGCATAACACAGAAACTAACCAGGCAACTATTGTGTAAACACTGGCGTCCTTTCATGTGCGCGGCGTTTACAGCGCGTGCACTGTTCCCCTCGATCCATGACTCGTATCAGATGAGTTCACCTCACAGAACGACAGGCCATCTCTCTGTCCATCTCCAACCAGCCGTCCCTCTCAGCAGATAAAGAGCTATTGACAGAGTGAAGAAGAGGTTCCATTGACCTGTTAATAGAGGTCAGGACCTTGTGGAGGAGGATGGAGGATCTGAGCTTTCTATATCTCTGGTTGTTTGCCAAATCAAAGGCTGAGGAAATGCTTTCTTTAACAAACATCTGATAATCTGTATTTAATGCAGCCCTCAGTAACTCATTATTCATTCTCCCCTGGTCGGTAGTGTAATGGAGTGTTTAGTTTGGAAATATCCAATGACCACATCATGTTTACCAGACTTTTGCATTCAGGTAAAAACGCCTCTGCAGGATGTAAAATTAAAAAAAGCAGAAATATGTTGTAAACCACAGGGTGTTAGAGCAAATAAAAAAAGAAATAAATGTACACATTAACCTTACTGTTTCATCATCTGTTCAAATGATTGCTATCATAGATTTTGTCCCTGATGTGCACACTGTCCCCCTTGTTTTGCTAGATTTACATTTTGTTGGTAGAAGAGAGCAACCACCTGGTAATAAAGTTGAAAATATTTACTTTACTTTCAAGGAGCACCTGAATGCACCATTATTTTTTTTCTGCAAGGGTAGAACATCTTCTCTTGGGAGGAGCAGGTTTAACTCTTCAATTGGGAACTGGGTCCTGGATCCAGAGCCTGAATGTAGACCCAGCTCTTTTTGCACCAAACATGTTTCCATCGGTGACAGTCTCTCTAAGTTTTTCCTTGGGGCTCTGCTGACACCAAAATAAAATATTTTGTTGTGATATTGAACGACTCCTAAAAGATAAACTACAGTACAAACGGCTGAGTCACACATCATAAAAACCTAACACAGATAATACAAAAAGACAGAAAAGTGAACTGCACAGTATTGATACAGGAGTTTTAGTCACATATTAAATGAATACTAATAAATTAACTTTTTGCATCAAATGCTTGATTGTGAATAATTTAATATTTTAAGATTTGATCATTTCTGTTTTGCAAAACTTAAAAAATCAAATTAAAAAATCCATGTTATTCCTGCAGCTCTATTGCAGACTGGGGGAAAGAGCTTGTGAAACTATTTGTGGACGATTGTTGGACGCTAAAACCAAACACCTAAATGAAATCCCTTCAGGTTTACCAGCTCTTAAAAACAGGATTTAATCACAAGTAATAAAGAGTTTTTATGTGGCTGTGGCCCAAAAGTATTCTCTGTCATCATCTACGGTGGATGACTCAGACTCAACAATACTATTTAATAAAGGGCCCGAATCAACCCAATACATCCGTCTCACCCTGCATCTCTCCCTTCACTCTCACTCCGTCTGTTGTTACGTGACTCGCTGGTGGAAAAATACTGCACACAGACGAACACACACGAACACACACACACACACACACACACCTCAGTATGTGTGTGTAATAATGTTTGTGCTCATTGAACCCATCTCTGGGGATGATTGCATACCTAATTAATCTATACAAATGACAATGACCCATATCCCTCTTTTTCTCCTCTCTCACACTTTCTTTAACTCTCTCTATCTCACCCTTTTCTTCTCACTTTCTCTGTTCCTGCCGTCTGTCTGTCTCCTCTGGTTCATCACGCTCTCTCTCTCTCTCTCTCTCTCTCTCTCTCTCTCTCTCTCTGTCGGTCTTTCTCTCTCCCTCTGTCCTTGAGCTGATGTGGGATGTGGTACTCCATATTCAAGCGAGACGTTTGGTGTTTGTGGATTTGTTTTTGTTGCTGGTGTGTGCCTGTGGGAGTTTGCAGTGTTTTGAAGATGCTTTTAGGTATTGTTGCCTCAGTCTTTGCTGTGAAAGGTTTAAAACACCATCAAGAGTGAAAGCCTCTCATCTCTTATTCTCTCTCTCTCTCTCTCTCTCTCTCTCTCTCTCTCTCTCGTTCTCTCTCTCTCTCTGCAGTGAGTAGGAGCTCTATGTGGATCAAGAGTTGAAGAAGGAGCACCTGAGACTAGTGGTGAGTTAGCTCTCCTCCCTGCCTTGCATGTCTTGCTTAGATCATACAAGAAATGTCTGTAAATGTGAGGAGAGGTGTAGTGTCAAAGGAGCAGTAAGTGTAGATGGTGTAATGCTGAACACACACTGTGTGGGATCAGATCCACCTTAGGTCACACCATTATAGAATATAAATGTACCTTATAGAAGCAGTAGTGTGTTTCCAAACTATTACTATTGAGGTTAGAGTCTGTGCTGTTTCTGGTATTTTTTCACCAGTGTAATTTAAATAATCATCAGCATACGTCAGAACTCAGAGCATTCAGAGAACCTGCTTACGAAGTTGTGACCTCTCGTGATTGACCTCACTTGAAGGCACCATGAAGCAGCTCGGTAACATGACCAACTTTAATTCTTGTTGTTTTTCCTACAGCCAGTCACGAGAGCAACACCAGATTTTTTGGACATATTATACAGGGAACCCTCACCCTGCAGAATTAAAACAGGAGAAAAAGTGGTGGTCTGCTTTGGCTTTTACCTGCTGATGTGTGTGTGCTATACATATATATATATATATATATACGTGTGTGTGTGTGTGTGTGTGTGTGTGTGTGTCTGTGTGAGAGAGAGAGAGAGAGAGAGAGAGAGAGAGGCAGTATCTACAGTTGCAGTTGAAAGTCATCAGTGAGACTGTTCTGTACCCGAAGGAGGCAAATTATATGTTAATGTATGTTTCTCACCATAATTGAGAAGAATGGTTTTTCCCTCTTAAGACATTCAGTGGCTCCAAACATATGTGTTGCTTGTGTGTTTCCCAGCGGGGAAACATTTAAATGTAACACTTAAGATCATGCATGTTCTCTTCATATTTTCTTGGCGTTGGTCCTGCTGCATCTTTACCTCCAACATTTTATTACATTGTGTAATAAAGATCTTACATGATAATGATCTGCAGTTAAAAGGGGGCATTCACACTCACAGCAATACACACTGCGCGCACATACACGCACGCACACACACACACACATGCGCGTGAGCAGAGTTGACATGAAGTATATTGAGATATACGATACAATATCAAAGTGTGGATGCACAGACTTACAAACACACACACACGCATACACATACACACACACAGTGAGTCACACGTGCATGTCAACCAATGACCAAGAGGTTGAAGGCTTGAAGGGCTAAAGCAATGTATTCTGGGTAACAGCAACAGTAATGGCTCATTAGTTGTATCCCACGGCAACCCAGCCAACTGGTGATGAATGGGAATTGTTGGGGGCTCATTATTGTACAGTGTTTTCTTCTGTGCATTGTATTGTGTGTGTGCGTGTGTGTGTGTGTGTGTGTGTGTGTGTGTGTGTGTGTGTGTGTGTGTGTGTGTGTGTGTGTGTGTGTGTGTGTGTGTGTGTGTGTGTCTCTATTCTGGGTCTCTGTTAAGAGAGAGGAAACTACAACAGGACTCATATACTGTCTCCTCATGGACCCACTCCCCACTGACCACCCAACACCCATTAGCTCATCAGCCTGATGTGACAATGACAGATGTATTTATAGATGCAGTTCGGCAAAGCATGGCACCACTGAATGACCTAACTTTGAGTTATGAAGTGTGTGTGTGTGTGTGTGTGTGTGTGTGTGTGTTATTGATGAGGTTGATGACTCTCAGAGGTGTGTTTCCAGTAATAGAGAGCACATGAAAAGGACGTATTACCATATTTCAGGAAGTGAAACAGTGGGGGAGGTTAAAATGTAAAACCTCTGTGGTCTCAGCTCTGACTCTCAACAATGTTTTCCAGATCCAGTATTAAAAATCTCAGATTGTGGGTTGTATGATGTCCACATTTGGTCTGAAGATGCGTGTTCAATGTTGTATGTTATTGTTCAGAGGCCATGTTTTTGCTCCTTCATGTGACTGTAGTTGTATTTTTTACAAATTTCAGTCCCTTTTCCTGCAACGGCTCCTGTAGCCCAGGGTGCACCCAGGTGTCTGAGTAAGGCTGATCTCTTCCTATTTCTTCCCCCAGTTTTCTTCCATTTTTTAAATTTAAGCAGAGTTTTAATAACAAATTTTAAATCTATGATACATGTGAGTTTGTTTTAAAACATACTTAAAAACTGTGATCTTATGCTTTAGATAACCTTTTTTCCATTTTCTTTGAAGCTCACTGTATGTCAGAGTTTATCCATGGAGTGGTGCATTTTGTTTGGTGCTGGTTAGTTTTTGTGGATGACGCTGGCGTTAGCATTTTTCCTGCTCTTTACTCAGCATCTTGTTTCTTGAAATCTGTGCAGCAATCATAGCAGTGACCAGAGGTTCAATTTTAATACTGTTTTCTTATTGTTCAGGTAAGACTATATACAGTATGATTAGATGTTACATTAACCCATTAGTTCAGTCTGTCATGTGCATGTGTCTTTAAAAATCCAACAAAATCTTAAATCCAAAGAAACACACACACACACATACACACACACACACACACACACACACACACACACACACACACACACTGCCCCTTCACACTTCTTAGTAAGTCACCAGTGGACACACATTGAAATATTTCTCAGCTTCTTTTTTCTTTTTTCCTTTTTTTTATCTGAAGTCAGTTTCACTTTGGGCTGTTTTATATTGTTAAGATAACAAATGGTAAAGACCAGGAGATCTGGGATCTCTAGGGTGTGGAAGAGCCCATAGAGCTTACAGTGAGACGGATGTTGGAAAAGTAAGTGCTAGGTGAGACAGATGCATCTCTCCTGTTACATTACCATCTGTACTGTTTAAGCTCCTGGAGAGAAGAGGAGAGAAAACAAGGAGGCAGGAAAGGAAACAGGAGGGAAAGTAATGGAGGAGAGAGGACGCAGAGCAGAGGAGCTCTGTGCAGAAAAAGAAAAGAGATAACAGGAGAGCAAAGGAAATGAAAAATAAAAAATGAATGAATGCTTTTGGACAAAGAGGCATGATAATATCAAGTATGTGATTTGTCTTTAAGCTGATTCCATCATCATGCCACACATCTCATAGTGTACACCTACTCAGAGAAATGTTTCTTATAGCTTAATACTTGCAGTGCTTCAAGCTAAATACAACACACAAGATTCATTTTAAGATCCATGTTTCCCATGCTGCAGCACAAAGGCTGAACAGTAGTGTGAGAGAAATCAAGCGTTGACCTGGAGGCTGCTGAGTCAGATCCCTGAGCTGATCTGAGAAAAGTGTGCTGGGAATTAAAGAAAATGTTTCTCTATCTTTCAAAACTAATGTTGAAGTGGTTCAGTGAATTTGGAAGTGCTTTAATGGAGTTCCTTTGTGGGAAGCAGTACAAAAGAAAAAAGAAGGATGATGTGTGCCTGTGTGTTTGTGCTGGATACAATCCTTGGCTGAATAAAAACACATATGCTACAACTTCCATCAATTCACGACTTTTTCACTGCGCATTTAAATTCTGTTCACATCGTTATTCCTGCCCGTCAATGAGATCTGTTGTAGCTGGAAATTAAATGAGGAGTCTATTCATTGGAACTTTGTGATAAATTATTCATGTGGCTTTGCTTCATGGTGCGCCTGTACAGGTGTTAAGACCGAAAACATTGAGAGATTTGCAGAGATTAATCAGACTCTGACTGAACTGAAGACAAGTGGGTGAAAAGTGGCTTCATCTTCATTTAAAAAAAGATTAAATGCAATATGTTCTGTATCAACAAAGTCAAAGAGGAGATGTAAAACAGTCTGAGGGTTCATTCAGTATTTAGAGTTTATGAGGTGAACATGTGCAGCTACTTCAGCAATGTCAGGGCATCATGGATGTCTTTTTGTTTGTCTTTCACTTTAGCAGAAATCCTCCACATTGACTTAAACACACCATGTCAGAAGTAATGCATCCATGTTTGGTCATTGCTGTGCCACTGGCAGATACAAAAGGCCACATATGGCAGTTATCAAGTGCTGTACAAAGGACAATTAAAATAAATTCAATAAGCAGGTAAATTTAAAACAAGGTAAAACAGTAAAAGCAAATATATATATACATTATATAAGAGACATATGAATATAATAACAAAAACAAGAAGACAGCAAGAAGCAAATACAAATGTGAACATGACAATGGACAAGAAGGTTAGGAAGCTAAAAAAGGCCAGTGAATAAAAATATGTCTTTAACCTAGATGTAAAAATGGAGATGGAAGGAGCACATCTGATGTCAGGTGGCTGGAGGTTCCATAGTTTTGGAGCGGTACCTGCGAAAGCTCTCTCACCTTTGTGCACAAAATGCACAAACCATTTTCCACAAACACAGTCACCAACACCTCTCTTTTTACAGAAAAAAATGTACATAATTCACAGAAGCACGTCTCAGTGCTTCTTTGATTAAAGGGCCAGTGTGTAGGATTCAGGGGGATCTATTGTCAGATGTAATATAATATTCAGAACATTATTTTCATTGATGTACATTCACCTGAAACTCAGAATCATTGTGTTTCCGTTAGCTTGAGCTTGCCACTAAATCCTACACACTGGCCCTTTAAAGCATAGGACAAATAGTTGGAGATTTTAAAAAACAAAAATCATTGAATCTTCTTGTTGAACTAAATTTGATCTAAAAGTTTGACTCATTAAGCAGCTGAATAAACTCACGATGTATCAAGTTCCCATGAATGTGTTGCACTTGCAGGTTGCTTTGCTTTCACCCTCTGTCTAGTTCATCCTAAACCATCTCTATGAGGTTTAAGTCTGGAGACTGTGCTGCTCTTCATCACGTGAAGCCTCAGTCTGGTTCTGTTCTGGCTCATTATTTTGTTTTAGGATGAACTTCTGACCGACCAGTCTGTCTTCCTTTGTTACCTGCCTTTCTCTTGCCATCCTGACAGCAATAGTCCTACTTCCTGCAGTACAGTATTGTCCTAATGATGCATTAGAGGGTGCAGTAACATGTTTTTGTACAGACAGAGTGTTTGTAAGTCATCAATAAAAGTTGGGACATGTGTAGAAATTGTTTGCACTGACTTTTAAGGTTAA